ATCTTTTGTGCACTGCTTTGTTCAGGTTTTGTTTTGTTTTTCCACACCATCAGGTTTTGGTAACCTAGACACAACTAATCTTTTGAACACAGACACTGGCCTTGTCTGTTTGTCATTCAAAAGACATGCCATTGTTTTTTGATTGGGTGCCATTATTTCTGATCATCATATTTATTTTGTAAAGTGAGAAAGTAATGAAACATTTTCAGAGGCAAAGGAAAGTATTACTTAGGGAAATAACAATTGTAACAACACTTAGGGAAATAACAATTGTTTCAATTCATTGTATGCTAGTTTTAATTTAACCATTAAATTTAAAAGCCTTTTAAAGTCTCTTTAAACACTTTGGGTGTATACTAGATACAACAGAAAAGAAACAGTGTGCTTAGAAGGAAATGGATATACTAAAATATTGTTGGCTTGACTTCTGTGGTAAATTCAAGTTATTTGTATTTTGTAATACAATTCTATACAGTAAATCTCTTAAATAGAATGTGATTTTTTATCTTTATAGATAGTTTCTAAATAGGTTGGATGTCAATAGATTCCAGCTGGGAATTTCCGTACTGGAAAAACAGTAATTTTCAAATACATTTGAAATTTTTATTCATGGAAAGGATTTTCTTTGCTGTCTTGTTGTACAGTCAGCCAAGAGTCATCCCAAGGAGAATATTTATGTTGCAATGCAGCAGGTAAGTATGCATTTCTGCAGAAATCCTGCCCCCATCCTGCCTCACCGAGCTGGCGTTTCCCAAGCAAAAGCTGTTGGGAGATGCTTTTTGTTCAGAAGAGACAAGTAGCGACAAGTAAGGATATGTGACAGTTTTTATTGAATTGATAGTGCAAATCCTTTCCAAACTTAAAATCAGATAATTAGTTCACCGACTATGAGATTATGAGTGTTTATTAGGTAAATTATGGGATTGCGTCTGGTAGAACAACCATCAGATTTCAGTCAAAAGGTGGCTGCGTTAACTTAAGATGAATAAATTGCTAATGTTATTTGTGGACTTGCCATTGCCATTTCATGTTACAAAAGACCATGTTAATTTTAACTTTAGCAAGGTTCAAGCATCTTTCTGCCTGAAATGGTGCATTAAAAATTATTTTTTTCAAATTACACAAAAAATTTCTGTTGCTTCTGAGAATAAAGCAGCAAAACAAATTTATTTTGCTCTTTTAGGAGAAAAATTCCTTTGGTTTCTTTAAAAATAGTCTGGGTTTTATTTGTTAAATGTTTTTGCTGCAGTGTCCTTGCCAAGTATATGCCTTTTGCTGTTCATGTTGTAAAAACCCCAGTTTTTCCAAGTCATCAATGTCTGAAAAATGTGTTTGCATATGTTCACTAGAGGCTAATAAAGATTAGTGGAGTAGCTGCAAATTCTGAAGGCTGCATTTGTGCAGAGAAAATACAATTAAGAGTGCAGCATACACTGCATTAAGAGTGCAACACATACAGAAATGCTGAATAGTGGAGACAGTGCCACTTTTGAATTCTTGGTGTCCCTCTGGCTCCTTGATATACTGTAAGGTAACTTAAGGAAGTGTTCTGACTTTCATGAGTAGTGTATGAAACTACTGACTTATTTTTGCTAGCTTCACAATAATTTGATTTATCCTAGTAGTGCAGATATTTAGGCTTGATTGTAGATTAAGAGTTCTCTTGGAGATGCTTTCCAGTGTGTAAACAGGGAGTCCTGCAGTGTTTTTTTGAGGAAGGGTAGCTCACTGTTGCTGTTCCTAACAAAATTTGTAATCCAATGTTGTCCTTGAAATATTTGTGCATTTTTTTTCCATTTCTTTTTTCTTAGCTGATATTTGTACTGTTTTGTAAATATAACTTCATAATGGCATAAAATTTTCATATTAAAAAGATAGTTTTAATAATGATATTTTCTCACAGAAACTTCTGTCATGAAATATCATAGACTTCTATAAACTAAAATATCCTGTTGCTGAATTCTAGAGTTTTTCTGATTAGGAGGTTTCCATTGATTCATGTACTCTCACATATTCCTAAATTGTATTAGATCTTTTTGAATACCCATAGATTTCAGTGGTGGCTGTGAAAAAACATGAAGTTATTGCCCTGAAAGGCATGATGGGAAAGCAGTCAAGTTAGGAGAAAAGATGTTTTTGTCTTGCTTCCCAAAACTCAGATTTCTTTGCTATAAGGAGAGAAATTTGTCTTTATGTTTTTATTGCAGAGCTAAATAAAGTTTATACTCTTTATTTCTCTCTGTTACTGTGTAATCTCTATTGTGATTACAAAGAAGGTGGCAAATTAATGTGATATTTTAACAAGCACTGCACGCATCTTTATTCCATGCTTATACTAATGAATTTTTACTCATGCCATGTTAGAAAATCCCTGAACTCTATTTGCTCAGGAGCAGAGTTGATGATTTGAGGTTCTGTTATGCAAAAAACCACCTTCTTCCATAGATACAGTGTGAGTGTAATGCCAATGATGCAGGAGCTGATGTGCCTGCTGGAAATTGTTAGTAGTCCAAAAACTTGGAAACTACCATGTCTTTCAGGGTGGGTTTGACCTGGTTTAAAAACCGAGTTCCTGTTGGATGTTAGCCTAGACCTATATTTTTATAAAACTTGTTTAAAGAAAAAGAATCCCAAACCACGCCCCTGCAAAAACAGCAAACAGACTTTAAAATTTCCTCATATCTTTGCACCTGAAGACATCAGTAAGTTATCTCTGAGTAGGCTGTTGGAATTTAGACAAATATTGTCAGGATATTGCTTGCCACTATTCTCCCTTAATCAACTGTTGGAAATGAAAACAGTCTACGTTTGACAGAGGAGTAACTGAAAAAGGGTAACATTTGAATTGCAGCTACGGTTTGTTTTGTGAGTCTGAATTTGGTGAAAGATAAACACTCTGAATCAGGAAGTATTATTTTCACCATTGGCACCTGAAACAACATTTTTAATATTCAATCAGTTTCAATGACAACTAAATGTAAACTAAATGAGTTTCTGTGCTTAATGTCCTGTTTAATCATCCAGATAGTCATTTACTGTAGCTGAGAAGCAATTCTAAGAGTACAAATGCTGACTAGACCAGATGTTTCATTTCCATCTGTATATATAGCACATTTGGTACCACCTAGGAAGGCAGAAATGGAAATACAGACTCTGATATACTGAAACAAAAAGAAGCAGCTTCTCTTCTATAGTTCCACTATACTTCTGACTAAAACATTTTCCTTCTTTTAGTTCATTAACAGAGATTTGCATGCATAGTGTAGAATAAGCCATTGCGTCAAAAGTCATCATCTTAAACAAGACTGTGGTGATGTTAAATTTCTTTGCAATGAGCATCGGCATGTATCAGCCAACAGATGAAGACAGCTTGGGTCTGACTGCCACTCAGCTGTCTTGATTGAAGCTGATGTGCCCTTTAAGTTTTGTATAGTTCAAAGTTTGGAGAAATCCATGATTCCTAAATACAGAAGTTTTGAATATGAGTCTGGCCTCACTGTTGCACACAGTGAAGTATTTTGGAGTACTATGTGATAATAGTTAACATTGTAAAAAAATACCTTATGAGGCTTACTGTTTAAAACTTTTTTCCCAGGAATTTAGATTAATTTGATTAAGGTATGAAAGAGTTACATAGAGAAGTTCAACTAGTGTAGTTCTCACTGAACTGAGACTGACAGATCATTACTTTATCCTAACCTAACTTTTATAAATGCATATTTCTGTCAATGCACAGCCAGGATTTGAAACAAAGAAAACTCAGCTTATTTGAGAACAAATAAACAACATAAATCTCTTGGTCATGGTGCTTTGTTAGGTTTTGGAAAGAAAAAGGAAGCTTGATTAAGGAATCGGGTCAGTTATTGCCTGGAGAAGAGTAGTTCTGATTCTGTCTTAATTCCCTGCCAGAAAATATTCCAATCTAGGCTTCTAGCACAGCAGAAATTTTCAGAACAGAGCAGCTAACTTCAAATGTTCCAAATTATTTGGATATGTCGAAATACGTGTAGATGGGTTTTTTTTCTGGAAAACATTTTTGTTCATAGAGGATATTCTGATGGTTGGTTGACTTTGTTATTAACTTCAGTTACCTCTTAATAATTGCAGTGACTACAATTGTTGTTTAGATACGCAGATAGAGAATTCTTGTTCACCACAAGTTTGCTAGAAGTAGCGTAACAGTATAAAACCCACAAACTGGCATGCTCTGCTTTTCTTTTCTTGGTTTTCGGCCCTATTTCCAATCTACTTCACTAGTACTGTTATTAGATTTGGGGATTTCTGAGCAGACTCATGTTTAGTTGCATTTTTGTCTGGAAAAGTGTATGCTGTAATAGGTTCCTTATCTGTCTAATCTGTTTACCTCTTTTCTTACTAAACTAGACTTCTTCCTTTTCTATCTTGGAATATTCACCATTTATCAACTTCAAATTAAATATTCAGTATATAAAAAAATGTATTCTACTAATATTGAAAAATTAGTCTTGAGAGAGAAAGAAGTCAGTAGAATTGTTCAACATGAAGTTGGAATACATGCTTAGTTTTACAGATTAAGTGGAAAACATGCATTTGTTCCAGAATTCCATTTATGTAACAATAGCCGATTGAAGTCACAGAGCCCATTTCTTTACTCAAGCTAATATAATACCATTTAAACGGTGAAAGTGCCAGAGTTAGGTGGAAGCAGGTTCAGCGCTTTGGTTTAGCTTAGGTGCTGAAGAATTTTTCCAATAGTACTAGTGGAACATAATCTGATAATAAATTAGTACCTGCTCTAAAACATGCTTTTTATGCACCTTAACAGTTTTGAATTATGTTTTACAAGACTAATGTTAAGAAAAGGTTCAGAAAGACATTTCAAGTTAAGGCGTTTTTGCCCTTTCCAGGTGTGCAGAGGTAAGCTTGAAATCTGGTGTGTGTGTGTTTTCTTCATAAAGCTGGTTTTGAAATGTACATGCCATTTTTTGGAGGCCATTTCTACCCACCTTTGTAGTCCAATACAGAAGAAGATTCCTTCAAAACAAAACATAGAAATGCTAAAAGCCAGTTCATAATTAAAATCTATTTTAAATGGTGTTACATCTTAAAGGAGGTTCTCTAAATTTCTGAGTTAAGTTTCAGACATTTTCTTTTTTTTTTTTTCTGAACTACTAGTACAACCAAGGCTATTCTGTTTTTTAAAGATCTTTACTGTTCCTTTAGGCTTGAATCTAACTTGGTTTTTGTTGTTTGGGTGGCAGTCCTAAATTGTATGTTTGTGATGTTTTGCTCTATCATGTGAAAGAAATCAAATGACTCTTTAAGGAATCAAATTTTATCTCAGAAAGCCATAGGAACAGTCCTCAATGCACTGAGAAGGTCTGCTGCTTTTTTAAAATTTCTTCCTTTTTTTTTAAACTTGTATCTGACCATTAACGCATTTTTTGTTTTATTTGGCTTATTTCTGCTGAAATTTTCTTAGTGTTCTGATGAGATATTTATGCTCTCAAATTAGGCTTAGTGTTGACAGATGTTGTCTCTGCTCTGTGTTTCTGTTTTCCTTTTAAGAACGTGAGAGGTTTTGATTATTTAGAAGAAGATATTTTGATTATGAATAGATAGTTGCATTGCTTAGTATGTTCTAGGGCAGCAACTGGATGAGCAGTAATAAGAAAATGGGATTTTTTAAAAAATGGGTTCCAAGTGTGTGTGTCTATGTATAAAATATTGATCTATTTAAGGACACAGGTCCATAGATCTTTCCTTTTTTTCAGCTTTTGAGATAACTCAATGAAATGAATATATGTAGATGAGGATGAACCCCCAATAAAATGTTTTTTAAAAAGGGAGGGGAGAAAGAATCTTTCCATGGCTGTTCAGGTTTAGTAGATCTGAATGCCCAGTAAGATTCTCCATGAGAAATTAATTATATTGCTCATTTGCTCAATGCAACAGGCTCATAATTCAGTTGGTTAAAAGCCATTTTGCAGGAGTCTCCAGAAAGCTTGTTTGAAGACTTCTTTTATTTTTTACTGTGGCTTCAGCCATGCCCTGCTGTGGTACGTTTCAGAACTACAGGTGTCAGTGAACAACTTCACTTTAGTTTTAAAATATTAAGCGGTAATTAGTGATGGAAGTGGGTAAGTGATAGGGGCAAGATAGTTGAGAATAAGCATACCGGAATTTTTACCTTATTAGCCACAGAATTGTTTAGGACAAGTCAGTTAATGATTCTACCTAATTCATGCTGTTACAGAATGAATGAAACAGTGATGTTGTCTTAAGGAAAGTAAATGGAGAACCTTACATTTATGGCAAACTTGATAATTGTAAAGCAGTAATGTAACTTTTGAAGTGAGGCGAGGATCTAAGGAACAACAGATTAAAACCCAGCAAAGAATAGTAGTTTGCCACAAATACTGCAGTGACAAGGCAAAGATTAAAGTCCGTATTGTAAGCATTATAAGTGGTTTATCACAATGATCAAACTGTTTAGTTGACTTAAAGACTCTTAAACCAAGAAATAGCTTCAAAAGAAGAGTAAAAATGCCTTCTGTCTACATGCCCCCATGCGACTCCAAAGGAAAATGTAATTGCTGGACTGTGTTCTGATTCCATTTAGTCTCATTCTTCTGATGTCCCACAGCTGCCAGTCTGGGATAATGACTGGTCTTAAAATAGAATTATTTAAAACTATAGCACCTAGGATTAAAAACAATTGTTAGATAATAGCATACTTTGTGAGCAGGTTCTAGTTAACCATGTGTCCATCCATAGTTCACTTGGAGGTATAAATACATGTTTGTGGTCTTTGTATATGGTGATTTTTTTCTCAAGGCTAACAGTTTGTGTGTTACAGTCTATTTTCATAGTTTGCAGACTACTTCCTTCTTCAAATACAGGAAAGAGTACTTAAAAAAACCCCAAGCGCAATAAACTTACAATCCTATTTTGCTCTGTCAACTTTCTGTTAAGAAATGATTGTTTTTCCTCTGTGTTCTCACAGTGACTTATACTTAATAGGCATATAATAATTTTCTACCACTAAAAGATAAAATATAAAGTCTATTTCAATGAACAGCTTTATCTATCTATCAGTAGTTTCTGGTCATTATGGTTTTGGTTTTTATCTTTTTCATAGGAGCACTACTGATCTGCTTTATATCTTTTGAAATTAATTACCTACTACGGATATCTCCCTACAAACTTTTTAAATATTACTTCAATAAGGAAGTTTTTAGATTAAGACTCTGTCACTATATGAAATGACATATTGCACAATTTGAGACCATCCTTGGCACGTTTGTTCCTATGTTTCAATGACAGGTGTTTTTTAATAAGCTTTTATTAACTGGCCTTAAATACATGTCATAACAATAGGTTGTTCTTCAATTTCAAAATTTTTAGAAATAGTCAGTGTGCAATTGCGTAGACTGATCTTTTGCAAATCCTCTGTTATAAAATTTTTCCAAAATGTAAATCAGAATACTTTTGATCGTTTCTAGGAATTTCTATTTGTGCTTCCACAACTCCTAGCAAAAGGTTTCTAAGAGGCTATGATCTTTAGATGCACCTCACATTTGGTTCAATATAGGAATAAGAGCTGTAAATAAACAATTTCTATACAATAAAGCCAGAAGTATTGCTCAAAAGCAATTTACTTAATATAATGATATAATTACCTAGTTAAACGATCATTCTCAGAAAAACTTAATGTATGTTTTGATTTGTTTTAGAGTAATAAAAATCTCTGTACATACTGAATTTGTTTTCAAGTGTATGTCAGATTCTTCTTGCTATTTGGGAATCTCTTGATTTAATTAAACATCCCCTTGAAGATTTTTGTCTGTATTGATTTTTCAAGTTCAACGATGTGAAATTGTCTTCAAAAATATTTTTTTCTATGCCTGTAAATCAACCATAACTGAGAAAGATTAGAGAAATTGCACACATACTTTCACTTCATTTATGTAATAGTATTCCAAGTTACAAGAATTAACTGTATGAAGCTAAACTGTTGTCTTCCAAGATTATGCAAACTTGGTTAGTGACAACATTTCTTTTTAAAAGGGAATCTAATGTGTGTGGTTAATAGATGTGCAGCCTAAGATTTGCAATTAAGCATCCATTCTTGGCTGAGAATGATATACAACAATAGGGATTATTTTTGGTATATAATTGTATTGGCCTCAATATAGATTTTTAAAGTGTAACAGAGCTCTCTCAGTACTATAATAAAAGTCTTGCATAAAATATTTAATAGCTGTTCTTTTTATTTTTTTACCTATATATAACTTACTGCATATTTTCAGGTACTCACGTCATGGAAGGCTCTGGACGAATGCTTGTAACTGCTGTGGGTGTGAATTCTCAGACAGGCATCATCTTTACTCTGCTAGGTGCTGGAGGAGAAGAAGAAGAAAAGAAAGATAAGAAAGGTAAATTTCACAACACATAAGGATGCTCTGAAGAAAACTCTTGAGCTTTGCGTAGCCAGAGCTCTTCTCCATTCTTGACAAATAAATAAGATTTTAAAAACTTCCTTTTTTGTATACATTTTTGTCATTACATGTCACACAGAAAAACAGCAAAAGCTGTTAACCAATAAATACATTGGATAACAAGATGTTTTTCCAGTGTGAAATTGCAGACTCTTGGTACATAATTAAATGCAAGGGAATACATGGGATACTCCCATTGCCGTGTCTTTACATAAGTCCATACTCACCTAAAATTTACTAACGTTTTGCTCTTGTGCATTTACATCTATGTAATATTTTTTTCAGAAAAAAAAAACTTGGCCATGGAAATAGCGTCTTTCTTTGAGCTTCAAAAATAAAATAAAGATGTGGCTTTTTGCTAGCCTAGTTGTTTAATGCCAGTGAGTGACTTTAGAGGCATTTTAATTTCTTAAGGAGCAAGTTCAAACTAAGAATAGTAAAAGAGAAGAAAGTAACAGTAAATGTTAACAGAGAGTTTAACTTTGATGTCCTGTATCAGTTAATGAAATCAAGAAGTCTCTTTAGACTTTTCTCCTTATTATAGTGTGATGTCATAAGCCGTTACTAATTTATGGGTTGCACACTAAACAGAAACATGATTTGATGTGTGTCCTTTCCAGTTTTTGTTCATAGTCTTGTAAATTGTTCACGTCTACTTTCAGAATTCCGTTCCAAGTTTGTTCTAAGAATATTTATCTTTCAGACATGATTAAGGGCCAATTAATATGGGTTTTTTAAACATTTCCATTCCTTTTAGTGGTTTTCACTATTAATAAAAAAGAGTAGTTATAGCCTTATTGAACATTTTAGTTAGTATCTGTCAGGCAGTGTGATTCCACCTTTTTTTCATTTCCATCCTTTTAATTTGAAGCTGCAGATAGAAGGCCAAATTTAAATGGTTTTCATGACCTACAGTTTCCATTTCTGAATATGTTCAAGAAGTGGCTGCACTTGACTACATGTTTCTCTGAGGAAATCCCTTTTTATTTCATGAAAGACTTTATGAAATGTTTACCATTTCATTTCTACACAGAAATGCACAATACCTGCAGGCATGGTAAGTTCTAGGAACATTAAATGGAGAAAGAATGAAACTTTCCAAAGTAAAAGTCTCATGTCAGACTAGTTTTGAACAGTATCTTAGAGCTTGATCTGGCTATCATTAAGAGAAAGGCTCCTAGACACAGACCTTTTGAGATCTGGCAGCATCTCTTTTGGCAGTGTCTAAGGATATTGTAGGTGAGAAGGAGCAACTTCAGTACCTCTTTGAAAGTGACAGCTGTCTGCCTGGAGGTCCTTTGTTTAACTAGGTTGGCTTTCTCTGTATGTTATTTTACTCAGGACACTGGTGATTCTCTTATGTTTCTTTGTGGGTAGCTTTGAAAGGCAGGGAAAGAGAAATCTGAGATAGCAGAGTAATGCACTGCACCGTGGTCATAACTTACTACCCAGAGACAGAAATACTTACAGAGGTGTGGAAGAACTTTTTATGCAGACACTGAATCTAATTGGATATAGATACAATACCAAGAAAATTCCTTCACATTTTCTGATGTTGCTAGCAGCCTTGTGCTAGTGCAGAGGAGTGCCTGGGCAGAACTGGTTGCAGACTGAGGGCCAAACTCAAATAATGTAATCTCATATATATAAACATGCAATTCTCTGAAATCCTGCCAATCATAAATGTTTGTTTCAGTCTTATGTGGGTGTATGCTTTTATCATTCATTAACATTTTGTAAAAAATCATCATACAGGTGTGAAACAGGAGGATGGACATCAGCTTCCAGGTAGAGTAAGAATTGTACCACATCAAATAAAAGGATGAGGCTTTTAGCCAGCAAGCTTTGGTGCAAATCAGGGTTGAACTAATGATTAAAATAACTGTCTTTGAATCGGTCCAGTTAAATTAAAGAATAATTTCAAATCAACAGGGTTGTTTGTGGCAACCATTTCAGTGTGCACGCACTGTTGGTGTTGCAAATCTTAATGTTGAGCTTGAGTAATCAGTTATTCTCCAGAAGTAAATTACAGTATATTAAATGTTGAAATGCATGATTTGCTGTTAGCGGTTCATGCTGTGCTGGTTAGTATGAGTATCCAAATGGAATGAAAAATAAGCATGAGTAACCAAAACAGTTTAAGTTATTACCATCACAGTAATCAAATTTGCAATTGAAATTTTCATGAATGTAGTTACACAGGGTATGTTTTTAAATCCTGTATACTGTTTATTTTCTTCTCCCAATTTACCATTTGTAAATAAAACATGACCATTTTTGTTGAATAACAAACCAGTACAGTATGAAACAGTCACTATGGGTCAAGTACTGAGGAAGTTCAGGAGTCTCAATCAGGATTCACTGTAGGACTTTTGTGTTCTATTGTGAACAATTAATCAACAGAAACAAAACAAAACTTATTTTATCTATTATTTGTAGAGACTAATTTTTTGAACTCTAATATAAAAAAAATAAAATAAAATAATAAAACCTTCTTTGAGTTTTTCACCTTCCTGTTAGGAAAGATTACTTGACCAGTTTCTCTAATATGCAGATAACTGCTGAAAACAAAAAGAGGATTTTTTTTTTCCCCTGGTACTTTTTTCATTTTACACAAAACAGGCAAATACATAATGTCTATTCTTTGGATCTAAAAATCTTGTTATTCTCCTCAAGACTATGTTTGCTATTTCCACATATAATATTGAAATGTTTATTGTTTCTACTCAGATCAATGTGCCTGTTAACTAGGTTATGGCAGGACATAGATTAAGCCCATGGTGGATTGGGATGTATCAGCAGTAATACATCATAATGTGCAACATTACATAAAATACAAAATATATATGTTGTATATACTATATAGTATGCTGCATATTTTAAAACTACCCATGCATTGTGTAAATTCATTAACTCAAGGGAAGTATTTCAACTATTTTAGTACTTGCATACATTATATTAAACAAAATTACACATAAAAGATCCAAAGCAATGTACATAGTACTGTGTACAGTCAGTTCTCACCAACTCTGTTAACAACTATTAACTGTCTTTCATATTTATTTATTTAATTATTATTATTCCATGTATGCATTTTTGCTTACTTTGTAACACCTTTGTAATGACATTTTGCTTTTGAAAATTATGTTAATTAATTTAAAACAGATTGATTTTGGAGAAAACAAAGCCATAGCATACCATACATTTTTTTTGTTTTGACATGTGCATTTGTTCATGTTGTTGTTGTTATTATTATTATTATTTATTGGTTTTTTTTATCCATTATTACTCAGTAGATTCTTCCCATCCCTCCTCCCACCCTCCTTCAGCTACAGATGGTGCGGCAGGTGCAAATGCCACCGATAATGCAAATGCCAGCTTAGTCAATGGTACGTCAAGAACACCTAGCTTGTTTTATTTGATAGATTTCTCTCCTGACTATGTAAGATTCCCTCTTCCTTTTATGAACTGCACAGATGTCGTATGTGCATGTGATTGCCCCCTGAGAGATCCTTCTCCATAAACTCCATTGTAGCTTATAAGAGATGCCACAAAGATGCTGCGGCTTACTTTATTCACACAGAATTAAGCATGGGAGAGGAATAAGTAGGAATTATGATCTATTTGCCATTAATTAAAACTGCAATTAAAAGGAACAGTTAAGTAAGGCTAGTTTCAAAACTTTTGAGTTGCCTTTACATGAAGTTTCATTGTAAAGCTCTTTACACATTTGTCAGCATGGATTTGAAGAACACCATGGTAAATGGATTATATCTTCTTTTCTTCTAATGTGGCACTCTCATAAGTTTTCATATAGTTTTCATGTAGTTCTGAGAAATAGTGCTGGGGTCAGGAATCTGGCTCAGTTTCAACTAACTTTGCTTTAGGAATAACTTTTGCTGCTTTAGGTATCTTTTTTGGAAGAGACTGACCAAAAAGTTATGTTTGTGGATACTTGTGTATGCCCTTAGTGATCATCTAATGAGCCTGCCTGTATTTACTAAAAAGAAAAAAAACCACACCATAATCAGTTTTGACTGTCTCTTAGTACAGATTCTTGACCCCACTTCTTAGCATGCAGATATTTCAGTATCTCTTCTAACAGTCTAATTCCAGTATTAAATGGAACGGGTCTAGGAAATTGGATATAATGGAAATTAGTCTAGGCATCAGCTGTGTTTTTCTGATAATCAGATACATTAGTCTGTATTTGTCATAGAAACCTTTCCCTCTTGTACAGCACCAATAATACTGAAAAAAGTAATTCTACTTTTCATTGTCTTGGTGATAGAATTTTTTTTCCATGCAGGTCAGTAGTTGTTGCATTATGCATGTGAAACTAGAGTTTCTGACACAGCAATACCAAGTACTAAACAAGTACTAAGATTTACTAGTGTAATATCTTATTTAAAACAAAGACATAGGAAATCTTTGAGCCTGTTTTTAAATACTTTTATTATAATTTAAAAGAAACATATAACCATATTTTGGTTGATTTTGCTGGAAAACTTGGATTTACGATCCCTACATCTCACTGCATGACAGGAACCTATATCATCCTCTCAAGGTCCTTTCCAACCCAAAGCATTCTATGATTCTATGATCCTGGTTCTAACACCCCAATTTCAGATTCATTAGAGACCAAGAACCAGGAAATTAATGATGAATATTTCACTCTCCATTCTTTATGCTCTATAATTCTACTCTGTTGTGTGTAAAACAAACATATGCATACAACAAAGTCTTGCTAGATATCCTCCTTCAATCCCACTGGAGACCACAGTATTACATTTATTCTCAGTCCTGCAAGTTGCTGAGTACTAAGTTAAGCATCTGCTGAAGCGCTTTGCTGGATGAGAACCACTGCTCAGCAAGATGCAGAAATGAGTCCTAAATTGTTCTAATCTGGTCTTTCTGTTAGCAAGTTTTAGTTGCCTGGTAAACATCTGTTGTGTTTGGTCTTAATGCCTGAACTTAATATGGAAATTGAGTCCCAAGGGATATTAAATTGGTGTCTTTTAAGTATGTGATTTTTCCATCATCTTCTCTCCCATCACAAACAATAGTTACTGTCCCTGTTTATCTTGGATTTGAGAGATACCTACTCAATTCTTTTCAGTGCACAAAGTGTAGAAGTCAATTTTTTGTGCAGCTGAATATGTTTTTGCTTTTAACTTTTCTGAGGTGAGGCAGTTGAATTAATTCTGCAGATCTTTGATCAACATGGAAAGGAGATACTTTCCACAATTCAACTTATCTGATGTTGTGTTCAGAGGAGAATCGAGACTTGGCAAGTAAAGTTCGATCTGAGTGTTTTGAAATTGTCTGGGAAATTGCCAAAGCCTGATTTCTGTTTATGCTACACATTTTTCTAGTCAGCAGTGACAATAAGTTAGAGAATACTTAAAATGTAGATATGTTTTGGAGGGTAGAAAGGAAGGGAAAAAGAAAGTTCTAAAGCAAGGAGACAAAGTTCATGTAGATATTTTTTCAGTCTGGATGAAATGAATTTTTTCAATAATGTCTGAGAATTCTCCCTGAGATGTGGCTGGAAACAAGCATTTTTACCTGAAGTCTAATACCTCTGTGTAGAAAATACCTTCAAATAAGAAAAAAAAAATTATGTGCTTGAATAAGTACTTAGCTCAGGAAATGCTTGTTACTTGAAAATCAGCTCATTACCATTTCAAATACAGTATTGTTATTGTCTTAGTTGTCAATATACATTTGACACCAAAGTAGCATTTTGTTTTAAGTCAGTGAGCTTACAGTGATAAATTTATATAGGTTTGTGACACAGTCTGTTTGTTATGTGGTATATCGAAGGAGCTATTATAAATTCTATTTGGTTCTAGTAGTTGAGATTAAAATACATAATTGTTTGATGGTCTCTGTTAAAACTATGGACAATATATTCAGTTTTTAAAAGGTTACAAGTTAAGGTTATGAGCAGATCAGAAAATTTCACAGAAAGGTAGTGATTAATGAAAATTCATCTAATTTTAAAGTATTGTATTTAGAAAAGGTAAATTTTTTAAAAGAAAGCATGGGAAGCAGCAATTGCTGTTTACAGGTTGTTTACCCCAAATTTTATTTTCTTAGAGAAAGGAGTGCTTATCAGTGTCCAGTAGAGCACTACCCAATTCCTAAATCAGGATTTCCATGTTGGGTTGTTGGGTTTCTTTTGGCATTTGGTACTCAGAGAATTTGTTACTTAAAATCATATTCTGATGTAGAAACACCATACCAGACTCGGAGAAATGTCTCAGCTGAAATACTTCACATCTACTGTTAATTCTGTCAGTTCTGGCATATGTGCACTACTGTTCAATTCCTGCAAAGCAATTTGCAGTTTTAAGGTTTTTTTTAAAGTATTTTCTGAATTGTAAGTGAAGTTATTTAGTGAGTGCATAGAAGAATTATCTAGAACTTCCTATTTGATACAGTGGAATCAGATTTGTTCTTCTGTAGTTAACTTGTATTTTACTAATGCATTGTCTGTGATATCACACTGCATGAAAGAATTCCTAACGATTCACTTCAGATATGTTTGACGTCACTTTTCCCCCTATATATAGATTTGCAATATGCGTCTGTTCTTGCTAGCTGCAGAACATAACTGACTTGGCATAAGGGGGCTATAACTCATTTCTATTGCAAGATGAGACATTTTGGAAAATCAGTAGGGTATTTTATATTTTTTGCTCCATCACAGCACATGAGAACGTAACTCAATTAGCTTCTTCAGTTCATTCCAAGCAGTTCCTCCAATGAACACATAATTTCTAATGCCAGTGATAGGTCTTTGTTATTATCTCTCATTGACTCTTCATAAAAGGGAGTCTTTCTTGGAAAGTTTATTTGAAGAAGTAACTGGATTTGGGGGTAAAGAACTTTGGCAGTAATGGTGCCATGGATATGTTCCAGAACACAGAAATTTTAATAAGGCAAAGACAACATGCAAAACATTTTTACATTCAAACTCAAAACCTTCAAAGCAACTGCAGAATACAGCTCTCATTAGGAGGCTCTGTATTCTTTTCCAAACTTTCTGATTTTTCATCCTTGCTTAGAAAAGTGATAAAAATAAACTTAGATGAATTCCTCCAGATTTCAGGGCCCAAACATTGTTCCTTTTACTTACTTATTTCTAAAAAGAAAAGAAAACATTTGCAAAATTATGTAAAAAACAATCATATTTTTGAAGAATGATGTATAAAAATATTATAAAAATATTAATAAATTCTCATCCTTTTAATGTTTCTAAACAAGGCACAAAGGTCAGAAAGATGGAATAGTATTTCTGGTCCTAGTACTAACTGAAAAGAGAAAGGATTTCTCAGCAGCAGTGATTCTATCATCTTAATTTCTTTCTTCATTCATAATTTATAGCCAAGTGCAGGCTTAAAATTATTTGGAACAGGAGGAAATAAATCCTTTACAGCATTCTTTTCTTTATCATAGTTACCTAAATTCGCTATTTTAGTTATTCTATCTAAGTAATTGGAATATAACTAGCTGTGGTGACTTTCTCCTCTCCATCCCCCAATAACCTAAGTGCAGTAGCTGTTCAGGTTAAGAATATATTTCTTAAATACTTACGTTTACATTGTTGTTAACGATTGTCCATTTTGTGTACTGGTATTTTTAACTAGCCAGGGCAGATGAATTGGTAGTGTAATTCATTACGACAATTATGATACCCCTATTAAATAGCAAATGTATATCATAAAGTTAAATGCTTTGATTTACATAGAAAAACAGTGTATTTTGTGATTGCCAGTTACAAAAGCCATGGGTTGGTTTTTTTTCTGGTTTGGGTGGGTTTTTTTGTTTGTTTGTTTGGTGGTGGTGGTGGGGTTTTTTTAAGTTGAAGAATCTTTGATTATACTGCCTTAAGGTTTTGAATTGTATTCTGAAAAAGGAACGATAGAGCAGGACATAGAGCAGACTGTCTGCTCTAAATTAATGTTTTCCAGTTCTTAAGAAAGGCTTTATTCTCTAGTCAGAAATCAGAATCTGTTGACATGTTTTATGTCTTCCACTAGCTTTATTAAAAACCATTCTAAGAAAAATAGCCATTAGGTAGATAGCAAGTTCGACTGTGCACTGTATGCAAAAATTTTCAAGCAGATTTCACAATGAAACTGAACTTGGTTTTGTTCAGGTTCATAGATTCACATCTCATTGCAAAACTAAGTCTTTGGAAGATAGATACCGCCTTTCATTCAAAGGTCATGTTATAGCCAAGGTGGAAATAGAGTTCGAAATACAGACAAGCAGTTGATGCTAAATAGTTTACTTCAGCATACTTTAGCAATCCATCTGAGTACTAAGATGATTATATGTAGCAAAACATCCTTTCCTTTACTGTAATTCTATGCTTCTGAATTTCTCAATGCCTGTAGCCTGTTAGTATGGAGTGAAATGTTACAGTGATAAATTTATGACAGATTTGGCCATTTTTGCTCTTTTTGAGAGGGAAGTTTTTAGTGATCTCCCAATTACTGAAAATACAAACATGCAAGAAATGCATCTTAGCTTTTTAATTTTGCTACTATTTATTGACAGCAGAGTGAAAAAAATTATACATCTATTGAAGCATAATTTCTGCTGCTTTATTGGGCATGTCAGTACCAGCTATATTATTGCAGGAAGTTGGACGAGCAGGGCTTAACTGCTGTCATATTTTTTTAATAAACTCTAATGATACATTTCTCCCTAGAATGTGTCAAAAATCCTGTAAAGGTGTTTTAACTATTAATTTTCTTTGCATTATTTTTTTATTGTGCATTATATGTAACTACAAAAAGAGAATGTCATCCATTCTGAATGTAATGTTTATAAAACTCAAGTAGTCTTTTCTATGAGATAAATTCATAAATCACTGTGAAAGTTTCATAAGGGATCCCACCAAGAAATTTTGAATACATTTGAAATTGTTCACTGGTTATTCTGAATACCAAAGTTTTATATGCTCTAATTTGTATTTTGCCATTTTTATTTCATACACACTTTCAAATGGTATATTTTCAGTTTAAAAAAAACAAATAAGGACTTTGGTATGGTAAGACTATATGTAGGTAAAATACTAAACTGGAAATTACAGATGCACTTGGCAAATCTTTCTTTAGGCTAAATCTGAATATAGGGTGATCACTTGGCACTTGTATTTACAGGAGTAACTTACTAAATAATACAACGAAGTGAGCAAGGTATGATTTTAAAATCATATCTGATTTATGTTTTTATTTATTTGTATTTATTAACTGTATTATTTATGTTTTGTCCTTATTTACTAAAATAATGAGTTTAATTCTGGAATACATTAAGAAAGTAATTTTCTATACTGGTGTGTGTCAAAATTATACCTGTGGCTTTTTAAATCCCAGCTGTCTGAAATTTCAGTTCAGGAATATTACTCAGATTCTATTTTCCACTGGATTCTTTTTATTAGTTTCACGCTCTTAATTTATGCGCTTTGCTCAAAAATATATGCTGATATTTATTATTTTACATGTTACAACATTGAACTTGACTGCAGTTCTTTGAATGTGTCCAGCTAAGTTGTCCAGGCTTCTAAGTAAACATATGGTAACAATGGCTACTGATCATAAATAAGTATCTGTAACATGCTCATTACTTTTGTCTGCCCTTTTTGTTTAAGTTCCCATTTTCATGTTCTGTCTTGAGTGAAGATTGTTTACTGTCTGTTGTCTGTTGAAATTTTTCATCATATAGGCAAAATGCAGGATGGGAATATGGAGAACAGCCAGAACAAAGGTAATCTTCTTTCATATTAAGGAGGTTGTGGATTTTATTTTTAGCATGTAGTTAAATTCTGTTAAAAAATGAAATGAAAATTTGTGATTTGTGCCTGCGTGAAAAAATGGCCCTATTGTTCAAACAGAATGTTAAAAAAGGCCCAAACAACCAAACCCAACAAAAAAGCCTGCCAAAGAAATTGCACTTACAGAATTTCGATATATCAGATATTTAGGATAGGAGAAGATCAGTATTTCTAATAAGCTATTTATGGATGATACTTTCATGTCACAAAGTTAATTTGATTTCATTTTTCTTGTGCAAGTTATGTATGCTATGTATTGTTAGTGAATTTCCAACCCTATTTTTGATATGTCTGGTCATCTTTAGTGTTTAATGGCATTGTACAGACATATTTTCATTTGCAGGAAGAATGTAAATCAATAACAAAAAGAAACTTTAAAGCCAAGAGGTTACTTAGCAATATAGAAGTGTATTATAAGGATAAATAATAGCAAGATTAAGAATCTGAGGAGTTTCTTATTTAATGTACACTCTCAGGAAGGAATTGAAATAAATATTTTGCTTTCTCTGAAGCAAAGTCATGGTTCCCTTTTCATTATATGAGACACAACTATCATGATTTCTTTGGGTTATGCCAAATAAGTAAATTAAACTATAACTTTCTCTTCTCAGAGAATTCTAAAGATTGCAAAGGTGTTGGATCAGAAATTGAACAGATAAACTCTTTTGTTAATGGTATAAAACTATTAAATAAAATTATATTAAATGAATAAGTTTTAAGGTTATATAGACAAATTAGATTTCCGGGGCAAATAAGCATGGTTTTGTACAATCTGTTCACGAATGTCGAAGCAAAGCTGTTTCATGTCATTCTATTTAATTTACTTATGTCAGTGTTCAGTACAAAACAGACACATATATAAATTGGAATGTCATTGCTTTTAAAAAACATGTCTTTCTCTTTGATACTAAAATAAAGTTTCCTTATAGCATTCTTTCAAGAAAGGAAGGTTTAGCCTTTAAATTATGTGTGCTTTCTATGGGAGACTGATGATGGTATCACCATCTGATCGGACGGTTAAGGTACTTGAACACTGAATGCTAAGGAAACTTTTTAAGTCTGGTATTATCTAGAACAGTGGTTTGCAAAGTGTGGTCCACTGGTCACTGAGAAAGATGAGTGTGTCAATATGGATAGACTAGTAATTTGTTAAAAGGTGGAAGTTAAAAGGGCAGATAAATGTTGATTTGCCAAGTCAAGACATTTTGTTGATTTGCAGTCAAGAGAAGTGGTGCATGGATCATCTGTGGAACCACACTGCCTTTAAAATGTTTTCATTAAAAATATGATTAATAAGGGTGCATTGTAATCCATGAGACGTACCAAAATTTAGAGATAAATAGAGTGTCTATTTGCCAAAGCATTTGAGATCTGCTATTCTAGGAAATCCCGCACTACTGATATACTGTTACTTGCCAAGTAATTTGCAAGACATTGTGATATATATGTGTATAACACAGAATGTCATTGGTGGTTTAAAAAAATAAAAAAATAAATACAAATCAGTGGTTTTCATGGTACTTGACAACCCGTGCATTACATATCCCCATATGTATGGAGTGCACATGGGTATGCTTGTACATTTGTGCCCCTGCAGAACCCCACTGGGTCTCATAGGGGCATCTGGCCGCCATGGGAGTGAAGTGTAATTCTGTGCATAGTTACAATTATCTGTGTTGTAATCAGCCACTGCTACAGGTGTTGCTGGTTGAATTCAGTAAATATCAACGCTAAGATAAAAAGAATGAATAGTACTTTTGGAGTAACAATTTTGTTCTGCATTATTAGCCAAGCAGCAGGATGGGGCTGCTGCCATGGAGATGCAGCCATTGAAGAGTGCAGAAGGGGGAGAGGGAGATGACAAAGACAAGAAGAAATCCAACATGCACAAGAAAGAAAAATCTGTTCTTCAGGGAAAGCTGACCAAGCTGGCAGTCCAGATAGGCAAAGCAGGTATGACTGGCTAACTGACCGAATAGCAGTGTGTTACACTAGCAACAAAGGGGTTTAAAACAAATTATTCTTAAAAGGGATAGGCCTTTTTTACTGCAGTGTTTAGAAATAGGTCATCATAATACCATTTGAAGGATAGTATGTGGTATTGAAGATCGTTTATTCTTCTAAAACTCATCTTTGACCGTCAAGAAACTGGAAACTTTGTGCAACTTGGATTATAATGAATATTTGAATCAAAATGAAATGTAGCTTTTCTCATAAGCAATATTCCCAAGTGTAAAATTACCTATTTAATTTCCTCTCCCCTTAGAACTTCTGAGTACAGAGTTTCAGAATCTCTAATATCACCTCAAACTATCACTTACACAGTATTTCCCTCTTACGGATTCTGAAATCATTCTGTTCTCTTAATATCCATGTTCCTGCCTTCTACCCCAACATGACACATCTGTTGACTCTTGTATCCAGTACCATCTGGTCCCTACTGTTAGAAGTAGCACTTCTTGTCCAGCATGTAGGTAGAAAGTGAAAATCTTTCATAATGACATAACGTTCATTAGGCTTATTTTTCTAGTGGTATTAAAGAGATTTTGATCTCTATCCAGGTCCTTGGCTGAGGCCCTACAACAGATTCCTGGCTTCACGTCTGTTCAGTCTCCTTTATCTTTCTTTACCAGTCTGATTTTTACCCCTGCTATTCCTTCTCATTCCTTTTTAAGTTCATTGCACTTAGCTGATCACATAACCCCGTGATACCGCTTCTATTTCTTTGCCTGGACAGCGCATGACTAGGAATCTATGGTTGTCATCTCCTTAATATCCAGTTTCATGCTTTGCCCAGTTTCATATTCCTTAAGCTTCTCTGCTTTGTTGCTAGTTGTACAACAGTATGCACTGATACAGAAACACTTCATTTCTCTTGATGATTAATTTCTTAGATTAAGTACCTTTCTACATTGCCTTCTGATTATTACTCTCTTTGGTATTTCGTCAGGCATGTGGATATCACTTTTAAAGTAATTGTATAGGGATTTGTAACCATAATGTGGCAAGTAATATGAATTAAATTAATTAATCATTGCCTCATTTGGTTTTTCTTTGTCACTGGGCAATCTATGGGGATGTCTTGTGTTGTCATGAGTATTTGCCTGTACAATATTTTAATGGATTTTCCTTTATCCTCTAGCATTTAGCAGTCTCCCTGACTCATCTGTTTCCTGTCAACCTTAGCATCCTTCAGCTTACCAACTTTTTTTTAACTTCAGTCAAGACATGAAATTCACAGCATTCACCTTCTACTGTATGATCTCATTAGAGAGAAATTAATTTATTTTGAAATGCAAGCTTAACTGCTTCATAGAAACCTGCCAAAGAGCAGTAATCATAGCAAGGCAAAACAGATGTTCTAATGGAGTTTTATTTGTATACTCAAATCCAGGAACAAAATTGTGAAGGAGGAGTGCTATCTGAGCAAAGTCTGTGTCATTGGGAGAGCATATTAAGTCCCTGGCATCTTTTGTGAATTCTGTGAAATATTTATTAGTGTCTCTTGTACTATACTGTCAGTGTTTTACCTCTTTTGAGCCTCTCCTCGTAAAAATATGCACTGTTTGCATGGGTCCCTTTGAAAAGGGAAGCCTTGGAAACACTAGTATTTATTACATTTTCAACAAAAACAATTAAACACTGCTCTGTGGATGATTCTGCAGTATTGCCTCGTATTCAGCCAGACACATCAGTAGTGCTTTTCTCAAATATTTTATACAGGAGCATAAACTACAGGAGACTCCTTTTCTCAAGCCTCTTAAGATAAACTTATTTAAAAGAAAGATGAGTGTGTCAATATGGATAGACTAGTAATTTGTTAAAAGGTGGAAGTTAAAAGGGCAGATAAATGTTGTACCAGGAAAAGTAATGTACTAAATTGAAAAAATTTAGCTTAAGCAACAGCGGAACTCGTATTGAACTGAACTGACTGAGAAGTTTTAAAGGCAGCAGTAAGATGGTGCTTAAAAATTAATGCAGTATCATTCAGCTGTTCTCTAGAATTCAGTGAATGTGTGGCTGTTGTAAATGTATTATAGTAATGTTTTTTCTACATTGTAAAATTTATCATTATCATCATTATTGGTACTGGAGAAAAATGTCATGTAGATTAAGAAAATAATATATCAAATTCAAATAAATTTCTAATTGCACATGTTTTTAAAAGTGTTTTGTTTTATAGTAATTGATTATTTCTATTTTCAGGTTTGGTGATGTCTGCCATCACTGTAATCATTTTGGTACTATATTTTGCCATTGACACGTTTGTGGTCAACAAGAAACAGTGGTTGCCTGAGTGCACTCCTGTCTATGTTCAGTATTTTGTTAAGTTCTTCATTATTGGTGTTACTGTACTTGTGGTTGCTGTTCCTGAGGGACTTCCACTTGCTGTCACTATTTCTCTGGCTTATTCTGTAAAGGTAAGAAATGTTAAAAATAACCGTGGGAGAAAAATGCTGTTTGGTTGAGTTTGCTAGTAAGTTATTCTTCAGGTTTTATGAGGTGTGATGAAAGTTGGCCTGTAAATTAATGTGCACAAAATGTTAATGCGAGTGAAATTTCCTTAAAGTGTAACTTTGCTTTATGTTGAAGGTATTCCTGACAAAAATGCAAATTCATATGTATTCTAATACATAACTTTAAAACTACACATTGCAGTAATATCGAACAACAGAAATTCCTACTTAGTTTGCAAGGTTACCAGGAATGTATTGAGCAGAATTTACTATGAGAATAGTCCAGTCTTTTGACGTAGAATAACTTTGTCCTCAAATTTTCTTGTGCAAGTTTTAACATGGATTTGAAGTCTTCAGGAACACTTTTCAAAGAAATTACAGTTTTACTGGAGCTTTCATTTACTTTTCTTAAATGCAGTTGCAGTTGTTTGTAGCTGATGTAAATGATTCTATTAGGAAATTAAAGGGGATTAAAATCCTGGACTTGTGGATTAGTCCATTGTCTATCTAGGAGCTTTCTCAGGTTGTTTTAGCAATTTAGTCAGATGGGCCTTATTTAAATATTCTGGGATTCTTAGATGAAGATTTTGTAAAGTTTATTTCCATCTAATGTGTAAATAAATTCACATATGAAAATTAGGAAGGAATAGCTTGATTTATATGTAGCCAAACAGTATTATTATTAGGAAAAAAGAGCGCATCTCAAACATGGGATTTTGCTAATAAAGACTATAGCTACTTTTAAAATATTTTTCTGTTCTCTCTATGCCCTTCATCTGACACATGTATCTATATTTGCAGTATCAAACTGCAATACAGCTTTGTATACAACTGGTGATTTTGTACCTGTGAGTATAAGATAGGGTCTGAAAGTAAGGGTCAAGTAATCAGGCACAGAATTTTTTTAATATTGAAAACATGTAGAATCACAGAATTGTTTAGGTTGGAAAAGACCTTTAAAATCATCAAGTCCAACCGTTAACCTACCACTACCAAGTCCACCACTAAACCATATCCCTAAGTGCACATCTACACGTCCTTTAAGTACCTCCAGGGATGGGGACTCAACCACTTCCCTGGGCAGCCTTTTCCAATACTTGACTACCCTTTCCGTGAAGAAATTTTTCGTAATGTCCAATCTAAACCTCCCTTGATGCAGCTTGAGGCCATTTCCTCTCATCCTATCGCTTGTTACGTGGGAAGAGAGACTGACACCCACCTCACTGCAACCTCCTTTCAGGTAGTTGCAGAGAGTGATAAGGTCTCCCCTCAGCCTCCTCTTCTCCAGACTAAAAAAACCCAGTTCCTTCAGCTGCTTCTCACAAGACTTGTTCTCTAGACCCTTCACCAGCTTCGTTGCCCTTCTTTCGACACACTCCAGCACCTCAATGCCTTTCTTGTACTGAGGGGCCCAAAACTGGACACAGTATTGCAGGTGCGGCCTCACCAGCGCTGAGTACAGGGGCACAATCACCTCCCTGCTCCTGCTGGCCACACTATTCCTGATACAAGCCAGGATGCTGTTGGCCTTCTTGGCCACCTGGGCACACTGCTGGCTCATGTTCAGCTGGCTGTCAACCAGTACCCCCAGGTCCTTTTCTGCTGGGCAGTTTTCCAGCCACTCTTCCCCAAGCCTGTAGCATTGCACGGGATTGTTGTGACCCAAATGCAGGACTCTGCATTTGGCCTTGTTGAACCTCATACAATTGGCCTCGGCCCATTGTTCCAGCCTGTCCAGATGATATAAACAAGAATAATGTGTATTTCCAGGATGACTGTGCATCTTGTGAAAAATATGCACTGTGGAATGGAGTACTCTGGTGGGTTTTTGTGGGTGTGGGCATTTTTTTTTGTTTGGTAGGAGGTTTTTTGTTTGTTAGTTTCTTTCTTTCTTTCTTCTTTTCTTTCTTTCTTTCTTTCTTTCTTTCTTTCTTTCTTTCTTTCTTTCTTTCTTTCTGTCTTTCTGTCTTTCTGTCTTTCTGTCTTTCTGTCTTTCTTTCTGTCTTTCTTTCTGTCTTTCTTTCTTTCTTTCTTTCAAGTGTGTAGTCTCTCTGTGTGCTGCAAGATAACATCCTGGCATTGGAAAGAGTATTAAAAAGAAGTCTATTATTTGCTGTAATGATACTGTTTAAGAAATCCTGTTATATTCAGTTTCTTTAGCTAATCTTTGCTGTTCTAGCTGTTCCTTAAAATGTATATATACTGCAAAAAATGATGCAACTATATCAGTTTATCAATGGCAAAATAATTTCAGGGATGGTCACTGCTTGGTTGTCTGTTACTAGGGCTCGGCTTATTGCCCCTGATTAAAGTTCTAGTTTAGTGAGCATTATACATGCTTTTTTGCTTTTTATAATTGATGTTAAAAATCTGTCAAAGCAAATCTTGAAGGTTTTTTTATTCCGCTTTTTCTCAGAAAATGATGAAGGATAACAATCTGGTCCGCCACTTAGATGCTTGTGAAACTATGGGTAATGCTACAGCCATCTGCTCTGACAAAACAGGGACACTAACGACCAACCGGATGACGGTCGTCCAAGCCTATGTTGGTGATGTCCACTACAAAGAGATCCCTGATCCAGATTCTGTACCCACCAAAACCCTTGATTTGCTGGTTAATGCAATTGCTATCAACAGTGCTTATACTACAAAAATTCTGGTAAGTAGCCTTCTTCTGTCAATAAAATGAAACGTAGCAGAAGGAGTTGTAATTTTTTTAAACATTGTTAATTCCTTAACATCCTGTTGTTGATTATGAAGCATTAAGTACTGTTGAGGTCCTCAAAATCAGAACAGGTGCTGTAAAAACAATCTATTTTATGCTTTTCTTTTAAGGATAGGTATGTACTTATAAGTACAAGACCATGCTACATTTTAAAAACTCCTGCTGTTGTTAGACTGGGATGGCCCAGTCTTGGTGCAGGTGAACTTGCTAACACAACTAGTTTTCACTGAGACTTCATATGTATAAAGTTATTTTTGTGTGTTTAAGAACTTTCAATTAATTCTCAAATTCTCAAATAGGACAAATTGGATTGGTTAAATCCAGTGAGGTTAATGATCTTTTGTTCATTCTGGTTTCAACTGAATTGCATCCAGAAATATTTCATTCAGTCTCTAAAGGAGAGCAAAATGGAAATATCTTCTTTGCTTGTGACATTAGATTCTTCTGATAGACCTAATTAAGAGGCTGAAAACTTTTGCAATTCCAGTAGATTTGTTCTTTGAAAGGTCAAGCTTAATCTTAATATTGCAAAACAAACACATTTTTTTTAGTTCATGAATTTACGTGTTGTCCTTTTTATAGCTCTGTGCTGAGCTGTGTAATAATCTTGTGTGCACTTCACGTTTGTTTTAAAAGTAGCCTTTTAAAATACAATCATGGAAAACAATTGGTGAAATACTACTTGAATGTTGGAGTATATGTTCTTACTATGTAAATATCTGGATATTAGTAACAGTCAACACTTGGAAGAATGTTTAGAGAAACCTGATGCAGATATGCAAAGTGTGTTTGTGGCGAAGGTGTTTTTGAAATGAATGCTCCTGAGGATTGTTTAGCCAGGGTTAGTATCTGAAGTCAAGCCACAGCTTAGGCACGCTTCAGACAGTCATCTGTGCTGTGGTGCACTCACTCTTCTGTTCTCACTGAAAGCTCTCTGGAAAGGGAAATGTGGGGAGAACCAGACCCTGAGGCAGCTTGAGCTGCTTCCTACTTTAAGAGTGGACGGGGACTCACACAAAGCCTCCGTCAGCTCAGAAAGGTACTGTTAGTTGCCACCTTCAAGCTGAAGTCAGCCAGCAGTGTGAGCGTACCTCTTCTGTTGCACTGTACAGACAAATAGCTCTAGTGAACTGCAGCTGGAGCTAGCTGTTTTGACTTTGAATTCAGATACCCAGGAAAAGCAGAGCTCACTCAGCTACGCACCAGTTTCAGCTGTGAGCATCCAACTAGCAGCACCAGTTCCCAGTTGAATCCTGGATCTTATTCTGTCTTTTTCCTGTGGTCTGTCCATAGGTCAAAATCAACCAGCTTAGCTGAAATGAAAGATGTACCTTCCATTTTCAGGTGGTTCAGTATAAATGCTGTGTAGTAGCTCAGTGTGGATATTGTATGGCAGTGGCTTTTTGGAATATAATTTGCATATTTGTAAATTAGCAAGACTATTCAGTAAAATAAATCAGTATAACATTTGATTGTTGGGGAGAGGAACGTACATCTTGGTTATTTTAATAGTGTTACAGCCTAAGTAAGGTTAGGTACTTCTGTAGAAAGAGAAATAGAATCAAACTCCTCCTCAACACACAGGCTGGGATTAAGACAAGGTAATACAGACAAACTGGGATGAAGGATAATAGGTAGCTTATATAAATTTGTGTTTGTATAACTGCTACAGTAGTAATGCTAGTCACCAGCATTAGTCCTAGCTGATGACTTTGGGAGGGCTTTGAGAAAATGTTACCAGTGTTGGCAGAATTTTCCTCATTCCTAAGAAGAAACAAGGCAGAGAGCAGGCAGATTGGTTGGTAGTTAAGTCAGGTGTAAGTGGCAGAGCAAGACTCAATGTCAGCTGTGCTTCATTTGTTTTATATTTTGCTGTTCATTTTGAATGCTTGAGATCAAACACAGTAACAAAGTGTTTCTGTTCAACTTCCATACCAGTTTGCCCTCTCTGAATCTCAGAATAGTTTTAGGTTTCTGAGTAAGGCATGGGAAAGCATCAGACTTTCCAGGGTGATGCATCTGTAATATTAAGTTTAATGTTCTGTCTTTCTCTTGTGGTAGTAGTTTCATTTGACTGAAAAATTTCTGGTCAATAGTAGTTCTAAAATTTTACTTTGGTCTCAATATAATTTTGAATTTTTTTTTTTTTCCTCTGGTTTGACTTCATTGCTTCTTGTTGAAATTAGTTATGTGTGCTTATTGAAAAAGGTCAATGTTTCACCATTTCAGTTCTTTTTTAGCTTTGCACAGAGACTGATTCTCTGTAAAATTTATAAATGGGTGAAATCACCTTTGTTCTGGATGCTTATCAGATGACTACTTCAACTTATCTGTGTAAAATTAATGGTGATTTTTTAGCTATTGTAACAGCATCATAAGATCAAGCCTTGCAGTATGGACCCCACGAGAATAACAACTCTAATGTCAGAGAAGTTAATTTTACTCATTGTTTATAACAAGCTTAAGCTAAAGTTTAAGATACAAGGTGTTGTTCCATAGCTCTCATTCATTTTAAATCGTAAATAAATACAGTAAAAAATACTTAAGGGAGTTGTTTCAGGATGAAGTGTACAGAATTATTTTTCTAGCTGCTAATACTGAATGCATACTTGTGCACTCATTCTTAGAGCATATTTAATAAAATTGTGAATATCAGCTCAAGCCCAAAGGGCATGTAAGTGTTATGTCGCTAAGATTGAATTTTACGTATTCTATTTTTAGTTATCTAGTTATACGTATGCTGTAGATTATGCTTTGTATGAACTTCTGTTCAGAGTGATCACATATGGGACCATAAAATTAGTCAAAGATGTCTGCTGAATGAGAAATATTCCCTCTTGCATTATCTTTTGATTAAGGGGCAATTGAACCATTGATAAAAATATAAAAAGAAAATAATATCACTGCTTGGGATAAAAGATTTGAATTTCCCTGAGAAATTAAACACAAATTATTCCAACTGAACAATAGCATCATTAAATATAGTTCTTTTCAGTGCTTTCCAAGGATTAAGTTACTGGGTGAGCTGATTTTGCATTCCATTAGCTTCAGAGCAACTTGAGTGCTGCTTTTATGTTGTTTATGTGAAGCTGTTCTGCAGAAAACCTTTCTTTTCCAGTATTCACATTTTAGATAGCTGTCCCACATGGAAGTAAAAATTAGACTTCATACATTTTTGCATGTAAGCTGTGATGAGGACTGTAAAGCATCTCTTACTCTGGAAACAAAATTTGCATTTTGGAAATACTTTGATTGCACTTGGAGCAGAAGTACGTTCATCTTGAATATCATGTAGCAATAATGAGATAGAGACTCCAAATACCAAAACTAGTCATTTGAACTCTTCTGTTGGGCTCTTGCTTGCATAAATTCAGTTTTAATTAGAAAAGTATTTCTTCTTCTAATTTCCTGAAAACTTTCGGAGGGCATAGGTGACATGCTTGCCGGATGGGTATGATGTGTTCTTATTAAGAAGAGATCACAATTAGTATTTACTTGAGTGATTTTCAGCACCAGTGGAAAAGACCCAGCTGAACACATTATTGTTAGGATCTAACACAAGCATTTCATTTGGTACTTGTTAGGCGCCTAGGGAGCAAAAAACCTACTTATACCTGTATTAGGTGAATATCTGGATCTGCATCAGGAGGACTGTTTTCAGTTCAGACAGTCTGAAGTATCATTTACTGCATTTGCACAGTATGTGGCACAATGCAGTGGTGTCCTTTAACCGAGGATGTTGAAGTAAAAAAAGGCAGAGATGTCACAGAAAAGTGCAAAACATTCACTCCCTTCTACAGCTTCTGCCAACTTAGGAAATGAAGTAAACATATGTTAGTCTATATGTTACTAAATGTTACTCAAATAATGAATGTGACCTTGTAAAACTTCTGGAACAGAAAGGTCTCTATCAGATGAAACCAAAGGGGGTGAATGAAGGAAAAAAAAAGAGAAAGCCAGAACAGAGAAAGCAATGTTTCTTGTTTATCATATGGCAGAACACCTGCATATGACACTATAACAGATGTCTACAAAAATAGTGAAGTTGTCAAGGTTGCTGCCAGCACTCACATTCCAACCACATTCCTACCACAGCCCTAGATGAGGGTCTTCACTGTACACGCAGACAGACCTCTCCTCGCAAGGCTGCAGGGATGGCTTTGAGGGCCCCAAATAACCTCAGCAGGGAGGAACAGGGATTCCCTGCAAGCTTTCCTGAGAGGAGATTTTTCTGGGGGAGAGCAATGGTTACCTTCCATGGGAGAATGATGCTGAGGACGTAGGCTGGCTGCAGGGGTACATGGCACACAGCAGTAGGACGGAGCTGCAACATAGACTGGGCCATTAAGATTTACTAGGAGAGAAAGGAAGGTGTTAATATGTGTTCTTGCTTTGCATAATTACTTTTTCCTGAATATATAATAAAAGATCTTATTAAAATAAGTGGAACAAAATTTCTAACTACTTTATACTGAAAGCAGTTCAAGAGACTTTGGTGTAGAATTTTGTTGTTACGAATAAGTAGTTCTTTTGACTGATTGATGCAGAATACTGGAATGAATGCACTTCGTACTTTCTTGGAGGAAAGGGGTGGAGGGAGGCTGGCAGAGCAGGTAGGTAACCTATAATATATGAGAACCATAAGAAGAAATTACATTCTACAAAAGTGAAATGGTAAAAGTAATGGATAGTAAGATTTTAGCACAACAGCTGCTTTGCTGGAATAGATTAAAATCTGCTGTGGATTTTGAGAACATGGATGTAGTAGCCAGGTGAAGCGTTCTTTTTATTTGTGAGGAATACATTTGCGTCCAAAGAAGTACAGCTATCTGGGGTTTTGGGAGACATAATGTTCCTGTCAGAAATGGTCTTTAATAAGGTGTGCAAAGTACAAAATACACTTCTCTCTTACAGATTTTTTTTAAAAAAAATCA